TCTGTGAGTACTTGAACGAGCAAGGTTGATTCTGCAACTGCCTTGTAGTTAACAGCTGAAAATGAGAGATCCCAATGACCAAGATATTTTAATTGGAGGTATGGGTGTGGGAATTTTTGCGACGTGCTCAGGGTGAATGGGATTAGGGGCGCCAACAACTGAGGCATGGCGTTGGGAATTTGGGTGAAAAGTGGAGTTAAAGTGGAATGTGGGCCAATTTCGTCCGATTCATAAGCAGCTCATTTCTGTTCAGAAACATCTTCAGAAAACAGTCTGACGAACGAATCGACTAATTGGAATACTTCTTCCAACTCCTTGTTATCCCTCTTCCACGATACCAACTTCAGATTGATATGCAACGTAGCATTGGGTGGAACAGCTCCATCACCACCATAGGCACGCTTTCCCTTTTCACCAAACCCGTCTACATCGGATGGTACAATATTCGAATAAAAATATTACATGTGAGATAATGAACTCACAGTTACGTTCCATTACTCGGATCACTTGCAATTGTGCGTCTTACATTGTGGTTTGACTGTAAGGAGAACCTCTTCGCCTTTCTTCATCGTTTATACAGCTACGGGAAGAGCCGGACAAAAATGACATGATCATAAAGTTATCGCTACATCAGCATTTAGAAAGGCAAAACTACAAGTTTCTTCAAAGAGACACGTATACCTTCGTTAACAGTGAATCCAACACCATCTGATTTCGAAACGACAATTCCATCTTCCAGTTTCGCTTCAAATTCAACTACACGACATTTAACACAATCAGTATTATTAGTATTTCAAGAACGGCATATTTACTAAACATACCAAACACTTCATGGTGGTCTCTGGGGGTCTCCCAACTTTCGCCCTGTTTGAGAATTTTTTTGAGTATTCCGCCGTCCTTGCATATGTCCTTCAAACTAACCCAGGACAGTAATATAACATGATAAGACAGAGTATTCATTGTGGGAAGCACCGCCGATTCGCCATATGCCAAACATGCTGGTATGGTGAAGAGAGCACCTTCTTCCTCCATAGTTTTGATACCTTCATCCAATCCCTGGATGACTTGTCCTGTCACAAGACAAAGGACACTATTATTAATCCATAAATTACATAAATTACTAATTATGTATGATTATGACGATAAGCTTTGAAATTCTCAAACTATGGTGTTAAAATAAGCCATACTTCAAATCAACAACCTCACTGTAATTTCCCCACCCTCTGAATTATATTCATAATTAAACATAATCCACTTTTCCAGACTCCACTTCCTGAAATTTCAACTCCAGCCCTAATATTTAATATTTGCAGTGATTACCAATTGATAATGTGAACGCAATTACAGCAGCAGGTAACATATGCAATCCAAACGGAATAAATATAATTAGAGGTAATTAATTTTTTATTCCAATTACTTTCACATACTTTGGATCTTTTATTTTTTTAGTTCTCCTGTATCAGAGAGTTTTTTTTAAGGGTGTAACAACCCGATCTCGAGCTGATTGTTTTGGCTAGCTCGATCGCTTCAAATTTTATATATTGAGTTTGAGATCTAGCCTGAGACCATTTTTGTATTATAACTATTTGATGTGTCTAATCATAATTAGGCTTATAAACCTAATTAAGATTAGGTCTGAATTGCCCTAATTAATCTAATTGTGTGTGAAAACTCAATTAGACAACACATTTGTCCCACATCGGATTTCTACGAAAGTCCTACCTATTCATCCACCTATAAATGTATGTTTCATTTCACATAAGAAGATACACTCTAATTTGGCAATTAATTATTATTATTTGCTTATATTAATACATCTTCTGACTTAAGTGTTTCAATTGTTTTGTAGGTTAACGGATGGAGCAGTTCCCTCGACTACCTCGGACATGTGACAGTGACAGTGACCTTCGGCATTCTCTATCATTGCGAACTCAAAGACCGTTGGGTTGAACAACCTCATTTGGGCAACATCACTATTAGGTTTTCATTATTATAAATTATAATAAAATTAAAACCAATTGACCTGCATTTACCAGAAGTCATCCTGTATTTATCATTTCCCATTTAGGAAATATAATTTATGAATGAAGTCAATTTTGTTTTGCACTGAATTAATTAATAGGGAAAATTTGACAAAACCCCCTAATTACACAAGTGTCATTACAATGAGCCCAATTTTATTTTACATTTTTAAGATAAATCCAAAATAATTTTAATTAATTAAAACCACTTAATTATCACCATTATACCCCTAATTAAAAAATAATGTATATTTAATTTTAATATTAAAAGATATATAATATCTTTTCTAATTAAGGGATGCTAATAATTAGGGAATTAATTACCCGTTTTAATGACATCCCCTCTCTCTCTCTATTTGTTGAAATTTTGTGCAGATGCGGTGTTATCATTTTAAGAAGACAATATACTGTTTTTATTTGCTCAGATGTATAAACATGTTTGTTTTGCTTGAACGTTATGTTGTTGTTTATCCGAGCAAGAAAGTAAATTTGTAATTATACAAAGTGATTTTCATGTTTACATAGTTGTTATACAGAGTGATTTTCATGTTTACATAACTGTTATATATAGTGGTTTTCATGTTACATAATTGTTATACACAGAGTGGTTTTCGATGAACATGTAGTGAATTATACTAATTTAAGCGTGGTTTACACTAATTTAATAGTGGATTACACTAATTTAATAGTGGATTACGTTAATATTAATGTGGATTATGCTTATTTTATAGTAAATTTTCACTTTAATTTCATAGTGTTTTTCAATAAATTTAGTGGTTTTTGATGAGTATGTAGTGGATTTTAATTTTTTTTAAATATAAACCATTTAAAACACTTAAGAAAGAAAACAATTTTTGTTTTAAATTGTAAAAAAAGACTATTAAAAAATTAAAAAAATGGGAAAGCATAAACTAAAATTAACAAATTAACGTGAGATATGTGATAGGTCATAGGAGAGATAATAGGGGATGGTGTGAGATGGGGGAAAGAATAGGGGAATTTGCATATCTACAAAAAATGGATTGATTTTTCCACAATAATATAATATATTAATTTTCAGTAACAGTAAATAAGAGCATTTTGGATAATTAGAGTTAATTGGATTTAAAACAAATATCAATTAAAAAAATGGATTTATCAAGAAGTCCAAATTGGATGAGAAATTGGATGAGGGGTGTTTGACAAATAGCCCCTAATTAATATTGCCAATAGAAAAATTAGGGGGGGGGGGCGAAACCGATGATAACAAATTAACAAGTACTAATTGACTAGTAGTAATAGACATGCTACAAACGTTAGTCAAACCTAGTAAACGTAAAATTACAAATAGTAAATAATTAAATTAAAAATGCAGGATAATAAATAAATAAACATTAAGCCTGTTTAATCTTCCTGGCAATAGCCAAAACAGCCCCAATTACTGCTACCACCACTCCTGAAATTATAATTGTCGATTTTAGGTTATGAAGTGCATCCCCTTTTCCACTCTCCCTTTTGCTTTCTTCTTCTTCAGCTTCCTCCTGAAATTAATAATTAATTAATTAATAATTAATTAAAACTGGAGTAATGAAGATTAATAAGAGGCAAATTAAACCTTGAGCTGCTTGGAAGTGGTGAAACTAACCGGGTCGACCCGGGGGGAAATAACCGGGTCATCATCGGGTACCAACATCTCACCATCAACAAAAACCTCGTCTGCGTATGTGAATCCATCATCAGCTGTGTTAGGTTCTACTATTTTTTCTTCAGTGGTTGCCATTTTTTTTATTCTTTTTTGTTTTAGCAAAATTGAAGAATGAAAGAGTTTTAAGAAAAGAGACACGTTTTGTTACAAGGGTTATCCGAATGCCGCACGTAGGGTTGACACGTGTGATTTTTGTCACGTGGCGTCATGTAAATCTTCGCACACATCCTGTGTGAAAATGGGTTTTAATTCATGTTTTTGGAATTAATTTAAATTGTATTAATTATTATATAGGTTTTAGTTTACTATTAAAATTGTTAATAATTTAGTAAATATTATTTAAAGCCCAAAAGAGCCCAACTAGTTTAAATGAAGGCCCACTGCACAATATATGAAATTTAAGTTATATGTGGGCTTGTTTTGATTAATTGCGGGGTCCAGCCCATATTTAAATTAATTAAATATATATAATTTAATTAATCATTAGAGGTAATTAATTGTTTATTCCTAATTTATTTTCACGTACTTTATAATTTTTTTTTTTTTATTTCTCTCCTATTAGTGGCTGATTTAAGCATCATAGAGTTTTCGTCAGTACCAAGACTCTGTTTCCTGAGGTGTACTTGCTACTTATAATGTAGGTAACTTCCACATTTTCCAATTAGAGAAGTTCCCGATTGGAAGAACATATTTAGGTGGTGTTTGCAAATAATTATTTAAAAGCAAAAGTTAGTGATTGTGAGTTAATTCAGTTTTAAGTGCTTATATTTAAAAGTTAGGGGTTTTTGCAAATATTTCGGAAAATGAACTGAAATAGAAAAAACATGGTTAGTGGTGCTTTTAAAAAAATAGCTTAAAGCAGATTATTTTAAGAGAAGCAAAAACAAAAGTTGATTCTGTAAACACTTGAAAACAGATTATGAGCAAAAAGAATCTCGTAATCACTTTCAAAAAGCTTTTGCAAACACCACCTTAGGCGATATGTGTTTAATTATTATTGAGTAAATACATACTAGCATTTTCCCCCGTGCGATGCACTGGATAGCATTTCAAATGAAAGTGATGATAATTACAATTATAATAAAATTTGTTAGTGATATCAAAAACAACATCATCATTATATGGATTTAATAATACAAACTCATTAAAAAAAAACTGTAAAAACTTAATTGTCAATCATTAAATAAATGAAGCATATTTTTTATTAGAAAAAATAGGCTGGAAAATAATAATAATAATAATAATAATAATAATAATAATAATAATAATAATAATAATAATAATAATAATAATAATAATAATAATAATTAAAAAAATATAGATGTAGTGGATTATGATTGTGCTAGCCAGCCGAGATTTGATATTAAAATAACTAGAAAAAAAATAGCTACAGAACAGGAGATAAAATAAATATATTTACACATAAATTAATTTATTTTTACAAATATGCCATTAGGGTTTCTTAGATTGCCTAGCGTTTCTTTCTTTTATATATAAGATAAGATAAATAAACTATATTTTATATCTTAAATACATTACAATTTACAACTACTGCATTATTACAATTTCACCCCTATTTTTTTCCGGAGGAATAATCTAAGAATTTAAAAGATTCTACTGAAATTGAAATTGAGGTTAATGTTAGACGATACTGAAATAGTGAAATATACGTAACTTTACAAATAAGATATATTTTATCCATATTTTAATCCTACTTCAAGAGATCGATATTCGTTTATCCAATTTTTTTTAGAATGTGATTGTGTAAATGGTACATAATTTTATTTTCTATGGTATTTATTCAAATATATTTGTACTTAAAAAAAAAAAATATTATTATATATTATCATATACCTATCTGAATTTAAAAATAAGAAATAAAATAAATAAAAAACCCACCAAAGAAATCATCATCAGTTCACCACCATCTCATCATCATCATCATCATCAAGAACGAGAAAGCGTCCACCTGAAAGCACACCCACCCACCTACCAATACCACCATCCCCACACCATTTATGAATACAA